TTCCTGGCTTCACTATGTCATCCACTAAAAAGTCTATACCAATCTTCAAACATGCATTTGGCTAAGTTGAAAGTTGCAAAGGTAAAAGTACTCATGCTATGTTTTCTGTCAGCGAGCTTGAGCTCCCGTATCACAGAAATTAATAAGTAAATCTAGCTTGTCACCCTTTACTAAAACAGCTGGGGGAAGAAAGACCTAATATATTAACTACAGGGGTAGGGAAGTAATTATTTAACTAAAGGCGCAACCAGAATATAGATTGCCCACTGCAGAGGAAATAAATGCAATATCAGTAATAACTGGGTTGTCATTCAAAAAGGCTCTGTATGTACTTTGTACAGATTTATTTTGCATCAGGCCCACAAGCCTACCTGAAAGACAAAGAGTAGAAAATGGAGGGGGTGGAGGGGGGAGTGTGGAGTGTCACCCCACAATGGATGTGAGAGGATTACAATGAATTAAATGCTTTTTCATACTGTGGATTTTTATTTTGTCCTTTTGGGGAAGTAGCTCCCACATCATGGTCTGGAAAATAAAATAGGAAGTGGTCCAGAGTCAATGTGTGGAACTAACACCATGTTTACAATACTGTTTCCCTCATGAAAACAGAAGAAACGTGGAGGAAAAAATGAAGAAAAAAGGAAAAAAAAGAAAGATTCACTCTGTTTCACTGAGAAAATGTGTAAACCAGACATCAGATAGCTTTTTTTTTTCTTTAGACTAATGGGATTTTCTGAAAGTCTGGTTCTTTGGATGTCTGTTGCATTCCCTAAAAAAATACAGAGAAGAACTGCAACCTATCCCTGAATGTGAAAGAGCACGTACCCTAATCCCACTGAATATCCAGCACCAACACCACTCAGAAGCACTCCTTTCCCAGGCTGCTATGAGCCCTAAGGCTGGAGCAGTTTCCTGTAGCCTACCAAAAAAACCTCCTTACGCTCCATCCCCTGACCATGCTCCCAGGTTTCCTCTTACCTAGACAGGCTGTGCATGGGAACAGAGCAGGCTCTGGCTGCAGCCCAAGTGCCTGGGGCAGCAGACTGCTGCGGGTGGCAAACAGTTTTTCTGATGCCCACATCTGGGACAGCCGGGCTGGCTGCTCCTTCCTGCAGCTGTGCAAGAGGTCAGGATGAGCAGGACAGTGTCTGTGCTGGCAGAAGAGATCCCTCCCATCAGAAGCAAACACCACACTTGGCTCCTCTTCACAAAAAAAAGGACTTGATCTCTCAACAAGTCCAGCCCTGGCCTGTCTGCCCCAAGTTACTATCACTTAACCCTATTTATTCTGCTGAGAAGCTGGTTTGCCCTTTAGCTCACTACAAATGAAGTGCAAGTGATAAGCACAAGCTAATCTTCTAGATTTACTTTCCCTATTTCTTTGTTGTGTTGAGGTTTAAAGAAAACTCAAAGAAAGACATTCAGCATATTTAGGTGACAGCCTCAGAGTAGAAAGATTCCATTTGAAAACATCTGAGCCTTATATAAAGACAGCAAAGCAGTCCTTCAATAAATACTTTCAAGACAAATGTAGACTGGGGTATTGCGAATGCAATTTTTATTTGGAGTTATTGAAACAGCTGTGTTCCTCATGAGATAAAAGCTGCAAACATCCCAAAGTAATTTTTTATCTCTGCTTCCAAGAACTGTTTATTTGCTACATGTGATGTCAGATGAACCTAGCAAGATGCCGTTAGCAAGAAACGGGGTGTGCGTCCGTGTATTTTGGGAGGGGTTAAGGGTTATTTAATGGGAATTTTTGATGCTGCCACTAATGTATTATGGTGTTTAAAAAAAGGAAAAAAATAGTAGAAATTCAAAGTTTACTCAGCACAAACTAGTAGCTTATTAAAACTGGTTTTATGGGTGCTTCCAGCAACAAGATATTGCATTAAGAAATACCTGTCCTTAGTAAGGTCAGATGTATGTATAGCAATCTAAAAGAGTGGCAAAGCGAACTCAAAAATTTAGTCCATGCAATCATCAGCAACAAACATTTAGTCTTTCCACATAAGGGAAAACTACAGCAATATGAAACACTATTACAGCAATTTCTAATTGTTTCTGTTTAAACTGAGCATATGGGAATAGATATTTGCTAGCTAAAGAAAAAAACCAAACCCACATTCTACCATCTTTTTAAAAGCTTGCATTTATTTTGGTGCTAGTAGAGCTTACTGGTAGTAACAGATGTGGTCATCCTTGCTCCTATTCAACTGAAAACATTTGCCATTAAAGGTCAAAGCATAGAAATTTCTGGAAAGAATATATAGTTACATCTTTAGACCTATGGTAGACTTCAAAAAAATCAAGCATATGTATACAAATATAAACCAAAACAACAGCATATGTTTTAAAACAGTGCCTGTCAATGACCTGTTCTACTTTACCAATACAGAAATTTATGGTTTTGTTGATAATGCCTGTTTGAAATAATACATATTACAGTGTTTGTCATGGTATTTTTCTTGTTTCTATTTTGTCATTTAATAAAGAAAACAGCTATTTTTACTACTAAACATGTGAAGGACTATTTACCTTGCAAGACTGGTTGAGAAAGTGTAATTTCATCTACTTTTGCCTGATATTACAGTGGACAATTGACAATTACAGAGCAAAAACTACAGGAGAAGCCTGGCATATCTGTCAGACTCACAGAAATGAAATTATCAGCTCAAATGACTGAATTCTTATGATGAGTTCCAAAACACAGTTACTACTCTGACAGCAGAGTAATAACATTTTAAGATACCTTTTTAAGATATCTTTTCTATGGACCTGACCAAAAGACCATGAATCCAAGAGTAAGTTTTGCAGGAAGTTCAGTGATATTTTCATGAGCAATTTGGTAATTTGGAGTGTTGGTATACTCAAGTCACACAGTATCAGATCTTACAACATCCAAAAGCTGCAACTATGGATTCAAGAGCATGGTGACTGAATTACTTGTTTAAGATTAAGTGGTTATCCATCTCCTTGACAATCCTTACTGCGTGCTCTGAGCTATACTCGGGACAAAGGCACTTTTGTTTCTTCCAGTGTTCAGCAATTAAAATGTTAAATTCATTACACAAACTAGAGAAATAACATATAAGTTCACAGAAGAAAGCAAGGAAGATTGACAAAGTCATATTATGCAAAAATGGGCAGAACTACTACATGCTACGTATCTCGTGTTTATTCTCTAGTTCTGGCTTTTCACAGAAAAAAACAATAACTAGCTCTCTAATACAAATAACTGGAAAAAAAATCCAAAATCTTAGATGTGCTATTCTAAGTAAAATAAAGCACAAGGTGATTCAATAAATAAATAAATAAGCTAACTAGAAATTATATCAAAGTCTACTCTGAAGAAGAAAACAGCTATTTTGAACAACTGAGCCCTGTTCCTAAAATCTGAGCATCATTTAAGTGGCACAAAAACTTTTTGATCCATTAATTTATAACAAAACTGATATTAAGTAACATATGGGTATATAATAATCTGCATTTTGATCAGCTGCAAAGTGATGGCAAGTTTAACAGTAGGATTAATTCCAGGCAGTGCATCTGGACAATATATTCGAGTCTTTAGTTGTAAATCTAGAACTTGCACAGCTTTCATTAGATGTGCTCACAATAAGGTTCTCATTTAGAAAGCTGCATCACAGTTCACAAATAAGGGTCTTCAGCAGTAAGTGATTAGAAAGAATTCATGTCATTCCACACAGTGTACCATGGAGAATAAGTACATTAAGGAAGTAACCCATATCCTTCATATCCATATGAAGGATAATTCCCATAGAATGTAGGTAAAATGCAAAGAACCGACATGAACAATACAGTGGAGTAAAGTTCAGCATAAGGAGATCAAATTCATCTTGTCTTGGTGTAGATAAGACCTAACACTGGCACATTTAGAAGTGGTTTTAGAGCTATGTTTTCTACTTCCTGTATTATCTCATCGACTTCTTCAGCAAAAATGAACTACCACACTGAATGTTAAGTACAATTCAGTGCTGAAATGAAACTCTTTAGATTTGTCTTTGGTTTAAAAAAAAAAAGAGCGAGAGAGAGAGAGAAGTAGAAGTACTTAAATATTAAATAAAGCTGCAAGACTGCTCAACTCTCCAGCAAGACTCAGAATAGGTGGACAAGGAAAAAAGTTCTGTAATAACACAATTGCCTTATTTTAACAAGCTTTTCATTCTAAAAGAAACATTGGACTTTCCAACTATCTTATTTCATAATCTTACATGGTATAAACAATCTTAGCTTACCCTTCTAAGAAGTGTGATGGGGTAACACTTGCACAGAACAACTGCATTTGAATGGCAGACAATAAACTAAACTTCAAACTGCAGATTCATACCGCAATCTCCCTTCTACTAAAACCTTCACTGAATGAATGCATTATTGTTTTGACACTTACAATGCTACTTCTTTTTTATTCACATAATACATTTATTTTGAGATTATTTTTTTCAACTTCAGCATTAGTTTGACCAAAGAATGCAATTTCCTCCTCACTAACTTGTGGTAACAGAACGATAGGTCAATTTAAAGCAAGTGAAGTATTTTACTTAGGGGGCCGGTTAGCTCAGTCAGTTGAGCATAGCGCTAACAACGCTGTCACGGGTTCGATTCCCTTTCGGTCCCCATGTGTTGCCTGATCTAGTCGAGAGGTGGCGTCCCTGGCGGCAGGGAGGCTGGATTAAAATGATCTCTAAGGTCCCTTCAAGCCTAGGCCATTCTATGATTCTACTTTAAATAATTTCTAAACTTTATTAACAGTATATTTTCAGTGATTTCTGTATTTTTCCATTAAGTTTATTCAATCAAATTAACTAGAAGGTTATTTTTTATTCCTACTGAGTCACATAAGACTTCTTTCAAATGGCATAAGGAGAATAATTAATAAATTCTAATAATGGAATGCATTGTACTAAGGAAATATCATTATAGCACATTGTTAATGCACCACATCCTATCTCTGCTGCTTTGTTACTTTCATTCCTTACCTCTTTGTTGGCTCTGTCTGCTTGAACTAATGTTCCGTTCAGACACGGCTCCACATAGTGAAGTTCTTCATTATACTACAGAGGGAAATAGAAAGTATGATGAAGAATTTAATTAAAAGCTTTGAAAGATACAATTTAATGATTTAGAACTACAGTGAAACATGCATATAAAGCAAGAATAAAAGGATTTGGTTAATTTTTTTTAAATGGCTGTGGTTTTTTTTTTTCCTTTTACATGATTCTTAATGTTTCAGAGGTTTATACCTTTTTTAAAGAAGAATTTAATTGAATGGATGCCTACTACATACTACAGTACTCATATACTATTTTTGGCATAAATATCTTTCAAGTTGAAATCTGGATTGTATTAAGAGATCATGTTTGATACATCACAGTCATAACTCCCACATTTTTGCTACATATTAAAAAATCCTGACAAACATTTGAGGCACTGGCTAGCATTTTGCAAGGTTAATATTGGAACAACTACACCAAAAATATAAGCTTGAATGCATGCTGGATATGTCTGACAACAGTTGGGATTTCAGTCAAGCAGGGTATCTGCTTGACACGAAGTCAGGAAGCTGTGACAGATCTTTAGGGAATTATCTTCTTATCATGCAAGGTCTAAGCTAGATACCTCAGTCTTATTTTCAGAAGCATCTTAGGCATTAAAAGAAACCAAGTCTCATCTGCAGTCGGTAGATCTTGCAGACTCATGGATGTTTAAGCCACTTAATCGAAATTTGGACTTTAAGTCTTTTAAACCTTTCAATGCAGGTCAAATTAATACAAGAGTATCTTCCAAAAAATCTACATTTGTTGTATAGATAGAGTTTTATCTTAATTCCTCCTCTTATTAATCTACTCTAGAAGTTATCACAGATCAAACTACAAGGCATTTAGACTTTAAGCAGTTTCACACTTTAGTAGGTCTCAGGCGAATCAGAATATCCAAAGTAAACAACAAAACAATGAAAGACAACACATTAAGTTAAATAAATAATAAACAGCAAATACTTTTCATTAGATGAACAAATGCATTTACTGCCTTCTCCCTCCATCTCAGAGGAAGAAAAAAAAAAAAGAAAAAAGAAGACCCTTACAATGATGAAGAGAGAAACTACAGGGGGAAGTACATCATTTATCAGATCACCTCCATCTCAGAAGAAAAAAGAAAAAAAAGAAGACCTTCACAATGATGCTGCTTAGATAGGATTCTCTGCCACTGCAAGGTCTCACTGCCTCTGCCTGTAGCTCTGAATTTGTTCTACTCTCTTCACCACCGCTCCTTTTCTCTACACACATGTCTAACCAGAGATGCCTACAACCTGTTCCCTTTGGACTCCTGTCATCATCATTCGTTTTAACAATGCACTGCTCACCACACTCATGATTACACAGTTACTGTTGGACAGGAAAGAGTTTTTAATTTGAACTGCATCAAGTTATTCTTGAGGCACAGTGCTAGACTCAGTCCTCAGCTAAAACACAAACCCAGAGTAAGTCCACTAACTATTGCTGGTTACACGGACTATTCAACATTCACTTAGCAATTGCTTGGGTTTACAGAAACCAACAAAAATGCTTAAAAGATATTTACACATAATTTCTGCAGCAAATTTGCATGCTTCCCTAGTTAGTTTATTCCATCAACGTTATTCCGATATACAAGAGCCTGTGGACATGCCTGTTGCCCCAAAGGTAATACAAAAACAAAGACTGAGAACACTTCAGAGCCACTGGTGTGTCCCACATGCATCTCAGTGTTGTAACAGTTTCTTGATCTGATAAATGATGTACTTTACCCTGTAGTTTCTCTCTTCAGACTGCTTTCCAACCTATCAACTGACAGTCACTGCAAAATAATAATGCCAAATCTACACAGCATCTCTTATTTTAATAGGCCAAAGTCAAAGCCTTGTTCTATTCTATTATGAAAAAAATGAAAATCTGTAAGAGATAGGAGCCTCTACTCTCAAGCTCTTTCCTTTCTTCATATGTTTTTTTTTTTCCGCATGTTCTTTAACCACTATACTTCCAGTTAAGTCTGTTCTTAACTTGGTTTATGTAGCTGTCATTGGAAACTTTATTAACATACATACTTTCCTTTATAGGATACTAAGCACAGGTTCTTTAATTGGCCAACATACAATAAAAAACTGAAGTCTACTTGTTTCTCAGTTTCATAGCATAATTTGATTTCTTTGTCCTTGTCATGGGGTGTTTTGCAGTGTTATTGTTGATGCCTTTTTTTTAACTGTGCCAAAGCTTTAAAGTGGAAAAGGGAAAAAAAATTCCCACATCTGCCCACAATCTTATCAGTAATTTGAAGTCAGTCCTGCAGCCTAAGATGTCCTTTAATTTTTTTTATTTTATGAAATAGCTTCCTGATCCTGAATCAAAAAGCTGATTAGTAACTACTGACTTTTTCAGCAATACCCAGTATAGATCTCATGTTAGTTTACCTCAATAAATGGCTGCATTTTGCTTTTCAATAGTCATTATACTGTTTTCTTATATTTCTAGTGTTGCATAGGTCCAATACGCCCATACTCTGGCACACGATATCTTTGCATGTTACAATTGTGACAGCTGCGATGCAATAGCTGAGAGCTAACACCTGTGCAATAGCTGCTCTTCCTCAGCCTGCTCATACATTAGCTGTGCAGAATCTCATTACTCAGGCAGGCTGAAAAGTAAGTTTATCCATAATCTATTCTATATTACTACAAGGACTCCAAAGAAGAGACTACACAGAAACCATTTATAATGGAAAATTCTACTACTGTGCTTTGTATTAACAAATACTTTAATTCTAATCAATTTTGCTAAAATGCTGTGACTAAAGCATTAAAATCAATTTAACATTCTCAGTTCAGTTAATATTTTTTAAACTAATGTCAAGTTTACATTTTTATAAAAGCATTTTTAAAATTTCAGCATTTGGCAAAATTAATACTCGTTTTATGATAACATTGTTAATTTAATGCATGACTTGGCATTATACTTCAAAGTCAACTGGGAAAATATGTCTCTTGTTACAGACATCTCTGTTCATGCACCAGTGAATTGACCTTAAATTCTAACATAAGCAGCATAGATTCACTCTTGTATTTTAACAATTTTTTGCAATTTAGTCATCTAAGTCCATCAATTTCAGGTAGATTTTGCAACACCCTACCCATAAGAACTAAACAATTTTTCTGTTTATTCTCTGGAAATACCTGAAATGAATTCTACTTTCTGATATATATACATATAAAGTTAAAAGTACATGTAGTGAAAAATAAAACATATATTCAAATGAAACAACTCAGCTAAGGTACAGCTAGTAGCTTTTGTGTTTTCTTCTCGGCTGGTTGTGGGGTAGTATTTTTTCTTTTTTGGTTTGTTTTGGGTGTGGGGTTTTTTTGCTATCCTACTGCATATTTCTGAGTGTTAAGTGAGTTTCTAGCAATGTTAGCATGTAGTGACCACAAATTTCCTTACACTTATAAGAATCCTAAATGTGTTTCTGTGTATGGAACACTGAAACATATAACAACCACCTTAAAAGAAAATCAAAAAGCTTTTTAAAAATTTATGTACAGTGAAATATTGTAAAGGGAGAATAAAAAACTACCTGAGTTGATGACTACAGATTTTGCACAAATGCTTTTCAGACTTTACTTTTTCACCTGCTGTTTCCTTTTCTTTCACTGACATAGATACTGATTTTCTCAATTCCTGTCATAGCTGTCAGTAAACACCAGTAATACCTCTGCACAATTTCTGCATTTCATATTGGCACGGGGAAAGAACAACAATGAGGAGCTATGTTGGTGTTCTATCATGCCATACAACCTTCAGCAAAAGCTAAGATCTGATTCTAGTAGTACTTACATGGTAACTGTTTTGCAATTTGCATTGTATTGCAGAAGCCATTTTGATGAAGACAAGGTGGAGGGGGGTTGTACAGGGACACATGCCAAAGTTAAAAATTGAGGTAATGCAGAAATTTCAGGTTAACTTAAAAATTGAGGTAATGCAGAAATTTCAGGCTAACTACAAGAGATTACTATTCTTTGCAACTTCCAAACTCAAAACAACTTAAGTGGTTTCAGATTGCAAGTCACAGAAAAACAGTTTGAAGGCACTGCCACCTGAAGAAGCTTGCACTGGAAAATCAGTGTCTGTCCAGTTGGCTCCGATATCATCTTATGGCCATTACTCACCTGCAACATTATTGTGTGATGTAAAACACGACAGATGGCAACAAATGATGGAAGAAGAAAAAGGAAGAAAAATCCTGAGACACTCACAGCAATTATATTGAAGAAGTCATCATCTCCAAGGGTATCCAAAATAGATGAAACTGTCTGTTTTGCAATAGTCAAGCGCAGCCCTTTCATACTGCCACTAACATCTACTAAAATTACCACATCTTTTGGAGAAGTTGCTGCCTGGATGTACCTAAGACAAAAGACAAACCAACTTGTTCTTTTAAATATTAAACATTTCTTCATTTCAAATTTCTTTAATATCAGGAGTCATCTATTACCTACCATTTCCTATTTCTGCAGTCAAATGCGATGACTCCATTCTCATCAGGTTCCCATTTAATTCCTGTTTTTTTAAAAAAAAGAGAAAAGTATTAAATTACATCTTCACAGTATCTGTGGTATTGGGGCTAAGTATCACTTAATAGAGTTTCATACTTTTAACAGACAAGTGTCTTATAACATAGGAAATCCTGGAAAAAATAATTTAATAACAGAGGACCACCAGAAACACATTTTTTTTTCTCATTCCTTTTTAGCCTACTGTAAGGTGAAAACCTCTTCAAGCCTACTATGTTCATTATACTATTGTCACTGAAGTTTTGTCATACTTGGTCATTGGTGCTTGCAAGATTTATCACATCCCTGCAAATTTCCTTTCAAACCAAGAGCACTTACGACCCCCAGCTGATCTTAACAACTCCTGTTACACTAACTATCTTCCTCACAGGTCATACACCTGATGTTTTGCTCACATCACTAGCAAGAGGTAATATTTCCCAGTTGTGAGTCAAAAGAAACATGATAAAAACATTTCCAGAAAAATAATTAAAAAATTTAAAAATTGTCAGGGCAATCCTTCCTGCTTTTTACAGTCATTTTCTAGCACAAAACAGGAAACAGCTTTTAAAATAAGGACTAAGATTTCTTATGTCCTTGAACTACCACAGAGCTTGAGAACTGAACTATACTCTAAAATTACCACAGATGTAGTAGCCATTACTTTCAGTTACTGGAAGATATACAGGGTTATAGTAAATTTGCTTACATGAAACTCAAGATTTCAGGCTTGAAAAAACATGGGTTGCTAAACCCATGTCAGCTAAATGAACAGCTCCCACTACGGGCCTACAGTTACAGAATCTGAGGATCAGTTTATTTAACCTTTTTACTTATTTAATATGTAGCAAGTTTTGGAATGTGGTGAAACATTAGACTTAACAGGTAACTATATTTTATCCTATTTCTATAGAAATAACACAAGTGATCTAATTGCATTTAATTATGACTAGTGTGAAGGTAAACTTCAAAATAAGTTTTTGAAATCTCTAAATGCAAAGTTGGCAGCTTAAGTGGAAATCTAAAAACTGTCCAATAAATTACAATTAAGTCTTACTGTATGCATCAATAGAGCACATTATCTAAATTCAGTAGTATATGAAGAGTCTAATCCCTTTGCCCTCCTTTTCCACAATCTTTTTAGAAGTTACTTTTTGTATGTGTGTATACAAGAACATTGAAAATGTTGATCAGAAATATCTCTCACTGAAAATCAGGTAAAGTAAAATCAAACTACCTGTGAGAGTCATAGCATTTTTTATCATATTTTAAGAATAAACTTGTATCCTTACCTGGATACTGTCTGAAAAATCCTTTTGCACTTCCAAAGTACTGCCAGATGAGAGAAGGATCACGATCAAAATTATCAACAAACACCTTATTTAAAGATTCAGACCAATAAACTCCATTTACAATGGCTGGATCTGGGGGGGAAAAAAAAAATAAAAGCAAGAGGGGAAAATGGTTTTTACCTAAATAGAATCCCCTTGAACTCTTATAATCTTCAGCTTATAGAGTACCCAAAAATCCAGAGACTGCAAACTATTGTGGAACATCCTTTGATTTCCTTTGTCAGTTGAGTGATTCAAAATAAATGATACACTTAAATAATGAATGAATCATTCAAATATAGAAGAGATACTGGGTACATTTTTTAGATAAGTTAATATTGCCCATTAGATCATCTATTTGTAACTAAAATCAGTCAATCTAATAATGGATTATTTATTCTATTTACTTTCCCTAAATGCATGGAATGTCTCATGGCAACGCTTTTTATATTTATTTGGTTTTTAATCTTCAGCTTGGTAAGACAATTCTAGCTATATCTGAAAAGTTTATGTGTGGGAAGAGAAAGTGAAATACCTTTTATTTCACACTTGAACGAATTACACATACAAACACAAAATCTCATCATAAATAACACTAATTGTTATTTGGAGAACAGAGGAACTGGATTTCACAACAATTACCTCATTATTTTTTATTCTTATAGAAAGAAAAATACAAAGCAAATCCTTGATGTTAAAAATAAACTGGTTTGGTTTAAAATATCTCCAAATATCAACTCCTAAAAACTAAGGCTGCCTGAGCATATTTTCAAGCTGCAGATTTGTTTTTATAGTCAGAAATCAGACATAAATGAACATATCTTAAAAATTTACTCAATTTCAAACTGAATTTTGAAAGATGAGAAACAACTAAGATATAATATATTCCCAATTTAATCTTTATGTTAAGTCAGCAGAATAGAAAGAAAAAACAGAACTAAAATCACAGATGCATTATTTAATTTGTAAAAGTCTGCATACATGAATGCACAATATAGTTGGTAAAGCATTTGAATTGCTGCTTCCATTCACTTGCAAAATAATGTTGCTGTACTGATTTCAGAAGATTGCTCAGAATGTGATTTTAATGGAGTGGAAAAATGGTGAATTGTTACCAAAAAAATCAAGAAAAACAGCAGAAAAAGGGGAAATGTCTCAGCTACAAAGCTTTGAATGTTGCTTTCTTCCAAACACTTATGTTTACATAAGTAGACTGCTGAAAAAGCAAGGCCAACAAAACTAATACTGTTTTTAAAACATGGCTAGTATAGTTAGTTGTTTTTCTAGCAGATGAAATATACATTTAAAATCTGTCCAATGGGACACACATCAAACAAACTGATGTCACTAGCCCAACAGTGCTCCTTCAGTTTGTCCAGCTGGCACAATCCATTGTCCAGTTGTTGCCAAGTCTGCTGCTACTCCAATGACAAGCTGTTATTAAGACACCAGAAATTAACTGTTAAGACTGTCTATCCTAGGATCTATCATGTTTGTAAAAATATGCTCCTACTTCAGCACTCCAGAATATTGATCCATTGCTCAGCATTTAGAGATTGCATGAGAACTGAAGCACTAAAAGAAGAATCTTACACTCAGTCTACCGGAACTTCCCAGTACTAGTTCAAACACTGATATTCTAATTCTGCCCCTATACACAATTTCTGCTGAAGTATCTGAATTACTAAAAAGTACAGCAGCATTATTGACTCTGCATTACAATACTGAGGTAAGGTGATAAGTTTAATTCCTCTTTGAAAAGAGCAATATAATTCAGATGGTTGGTTTTGTTGTGCTGGTTTGTTTGTGGCTTTGTTTGTTGGAATTGCTGGTAGAAAAAAAACTGTTTAGAGGACTGTAAGTTATCATAGAATCATAGAATGGCCTAGGCTGGAAGGGACCTTAGAGATCATTGAATCCAACCTCCCTGTCATGGGCAGGGACGCCACCTCTCGACTAGACCAGGCAACACATGGGGACAGAACAGGAATCGAACCTGCGACCTTGGTGTTGTCATTGTTGTCAGCACCGCGCTCAAGTTCTTCATACAACCTTAAGTCATCAGGATTAGTGAAAAGCCAAACAAATCAAATAATTCTACCTTAATTTATATTTAAAATTAACTGTAGTAGTTCTTAGCAAGTTACACATGGATATCATTCCAAGACTGCACATTGTACCTTAGCACCATTTTTATAAATGGTTGCAATGAAAATCATTGTGATGTTCGGGTGCTCAAAGACATTATGTAAGTAGCTTCTGTCACAATTCTTGAAACATAAAATCTGGTTTTGCTTCCTGGCAGAAAAAGCTAAAATATAATTAAAATATTTCCTTTTCCCTTGCCTTTTAGATGGGCTGGCTTGCAATTATGAGGGATTTTTCTCCACTTCTGTTTGTGCCGATGTTACCCGTTTTTTACTGATATTTAATATAAAAGCAACCCCCAGGCAAATAGGTACACTGACACGAATCTGAAATAAAATTGCCAAAGAAACAGTAGAAATGCATGTAGCAATTAAGTTGCTGTCACAGATACTGCTGACCCAAAGAAGCAGGTCTGAAGTCTCAACAAAGACAGCCAAGTTGTGCAGACTGAAAGATGTGCAACAGCATGCCAGAGTTTAGCACTATGATGAAATGTATTTTAATTCATGGAATCCATAAAAATATTTAGTTACCTGTGATACTTATTTTTTCCCCTATTATATTACCTTTGTAATGGCACATTATTCACATATATATAAAGGTATCACTGTATTGCCTTTGTCATGTAATCATTAATTTCTCCTGGAAAGCTGTTGGCATCCAAAAAAGTGTTCCTTCTTGCAGTATCTGGTGATGTCAAGGGAACTTCAGAGCAGTACTGTCATACAAGAAGGCAATAGGAGCACAGCCTACAGAACCCAGCACTGGAAAAGCAATGTAAAATCCAGCAGCCTTTTGGCTCTAAGATAGCAACAATATTAGCTTGGTTTTGATGACACTGACAACATATTTAGTCTGGTCATATATTAAAGAATAACAAAACCACATACTTTGCTGAGACATACACCAACAATCTAATAATTATTCTACTCTAATATGAATGCTTTTCAGGGTGGTCCAACATATTCAAGAGCTGGGGCTGGATGCCAATTCTGGCAACTGCCTTTGCTTTTTTCTCTCTCATCCCCTTCCTCTGCCTCCACTGGGTAATGTGGATGCAACAGCTCACAGATCAAGCATCTGGCAATCTGTAGACACAAAAGAAAGTGTTTGTCCATTTTGCTTCATGAGCCAAGAACCATTCACAATGTTAGAAATTCCTTCCTTCCTCGTAATTGTATGGGGTGGTAAAGAGCTCAAGTGCGTGACTGCATAAAGGCACAGCAGTAGGTATTTAGTTGTTTTAGTTTCCAACATTGCCCTAATAACATTCTCCTTGTCTTTGAAGTGGCAGCAGAAGAACTGGAGTATGGCCAGATGTGTTTATGCTGAGTTTCATGACCTGGTTTGGGGGTGGGGGCTGGTTTTTTTGTTGGGTTGTGGGAGGGGTTTTTTTGTGAACTGGTTGGTCTGAGATTCAACTTTAGTTCATCTGACAGCCAGAATTACAGCTGCAAACTCCTCACTAACACCATTCTAGCACAGAGATTCAGTTCTGACTCTGCTAAGAGCTTACCACCTACTGAATTATACAAAATGTTTTGCAGAAAATCAACGTACCTTTGAGGTCACCCATTCTGCTATTGACCTGGATGGACCCTGCTTAACTTACCAGATGTAACAGCTAAGAGAAGCCCATGTGGGGGTTCTTCTATGAATCAGTTGGCGCAAAGCTCTGGAGCAGCATATAAGCAGGACACAGAATACTGCCTTTTTAAGAAAAAATTAAAGGAGGAACTTGGAGCAAAAGCCAAAGGCTTCACTCATTGTCCATCCCAGAAAGAACTAGAGAGATGCCACTTTGATAGAACTGTTGTCACAGGATTCAGGCACATGGGGCAGCTACCCCTATCCCTAACAGTCTGACAAAATAGCATTGCCTACTCAGCAATTGCTAAGAGGCCTTTAGCTGAGGAGAACTGAAGTCAAACCCCAGTAACCCTGACAGATGATCACTCCATAAATTAACGTGACCACAGACACCAGGATATTTCTGTATTTTCAGAAAAACATACTCAGTTCCACATTTTCGCTGGATACAAAGTGAAGGCTATGAAATCTGAAAGATCAGTAAGAAAATATCACACCATAGAACTCTAGGATGCCAGGGTGTGAATGAAAGACAGGGCAAACAACATGAAAATCAATTGCTAGAAACAGTTTTCCAACTAGGAAAGAGAAAACAAATGCTCAGGACATAGGAATTAACCAAATTGAATAGTGACCCTATATGCACTGCAATTTCATCGCAAGCAAAATTGGTCTAAAATACTGCAGAAAGAGCCAGTTCTGGTACATGTCATGAAGAAATTTCCACACAGACTGATGGAACCGTGACTATCAGAAACCAGGAAATCTAAACCTCTGCAAGTTACAAGGCAGGAAAAAGTGTCACAACAAACAGTACAAGAAGCCAGTGGAACACACTGCAAATTAGAAAAAAAGAAAGCAAACGTGACTGCTGCTAAACGAAGCCAACTGTGCTGTAAACTATTTAACACACAACACACCAAAAGGGACAACTTCAGCAAAGTAGTTGTCAAAGTGATATATGACAGAGGAAATAAAAGTCATCCTTATGGAAATTTCTAAAGGACAGACCCGTTCACAAATCTTTACAAAAGCCATTTAAAACACAAGGCTATACATACCTGTAAACTAACATTTCATGACATATGTCTAATTCTTATTGCTCAGATAGTCAGAGAGAGATACGGAATTAAAGTAACAGGCCAACTTAGCTACATGACGGAGTGCAGTAAGGACCAACAAATAATGCTTTGAACAGGAGATGTTAAAGACCCTCCTAGTTTTATCAACACATCATGCCTCGTGCATACAACAAAAGGCAGCATGAGAAACTTTAGAGAAAAATGTTTTAGCATGTGCAATGCATTATGGTCTTACTGGGCTGTAATATACTAAACGTCTACTGTTACATTCTT